ATTTTTGTTGAGCTTGAACTTGCACAAGTAGCAAGTATTGCGAGCATGAGAATCTTTGGTAATGGTGTGTCACAATTTGAATCTTTGAGTACACAATTGATCCTTGCATAAGTAAATTGAGTCTTGTTGTGTGCATTCATGATTTAGTCTTGCGTAGCACTGTTTGAGGCACCCTATTTGAACTGCTGAACTTGAGTTTGCTTGAGGACAAGCAAAAGTTTAAGTTGGGGGTGTTGATGAGTCCACAAATTGGACTCATTTAGGGCTTTATTTTAATAGAAATAGTGTCCTCGAATGCTTGTTTTATCTCAATACCTGATTAAAAAGTTGAAGTTTCAGGTATTTGAAGTTTTAGTGGAAGCATGGACACTTAGGTGCAAAACGGAGCAAAAAGGGCTGAAAAGAACAAGAAATGAAAGTCTGTGGATCGCCGAGTCCAACATGGCAAGTCGCCAAATTGACATGCACCACCATTTGTTCCAGTACACAAAGCCTTGAAGGAAGTGGATCAAAAGGCGAGGAAAGAAGCAGTCGGCGAGTCGCCGATTAGTTCCGCGAAGCAGTACTGTACCGCCCAATGATCCATAATATAAGGATGCTGAAGGTAAGATACTGAAGGCGATGAGCTGATTAAATGGCGGATCGCCGAGTTCATCGGTGATCTCGACTAATATCGCCGAACGATCCTCCGCAGCACAATCCGTGAAAGCTATAAATACTAGTTAGAGTTGTAGTCTTTTAGAGAAGAATTTTAGAGTAAAAAATTATTATTAGTCTATAGTATTTTTCTGTATTTTTCTCTCAAGTTTGGAGAGGGTTTTGTGGAAACTTGAAGAAAGGAGTTCATCTTCCCCAAGTTGGCAGTGGATCTTCTTTATTATTCTTTCGTAGCTTAATTCAAGGTTTAATTTCTTATACCTAGTTGATTTATTTATCATGTTAAGTATATTTTCTTATTTCTTGATGTGTGACTAAAAAAACCCCATTCTTGGGGTGTGATTTAGCAAATATAGGTTGATATTCTTGTTGGGTCTTGCTTGTTGATAGGTTAGCTGTATTTTAATAGTGATTTCACCTAATGGTTGTGGTTTAATCTAAAGGGTTTGTAGTTGCAAATACAAAGCCACCCATGTGTTTTCGGCTTGCCCTAGAGGGAGGTCGCGAAACCAAAACCACTAGACTGATGGCCTAAGGAGTGGGTCGACATGAGGTCCATCCGGAGAGGGTGAGCCCTAGTCACATATCTTAACCCTCAGCTCGAGAGAGTGAGTGAGGTAAGGCGTAGGCTAGTCTTCATGCGGCAAATGGGTGTCCGAGAGGAACGCATTTGAAACGGGGTAAGTTGCCCGAGAGGGAACTTATTTCCATTTAAAGCTTAGCCTAGTCACTATTGTCTTGCAAATTTCCAATTGAAAGAATGTACCCAACGATTTATCTCAACTTGTATTGCGGTCACATCCCAAGAACCTTCCCCATACTTGATTTTCTTGTTTATTTTGCTGTTTTATCACTTGTTACAAAACCCCCTTTGATATTTGACACTTCTGTGTCACCCCCTTTAATTTACCATGTATTTTATCGCAAATGTTTTTAGCTACGACTAATTTAAATGAAATTCTACTTGGCTACTGATTCTCAAAATCGCTCCCTTGGGACACGACCCCAACCCTTGGTTGGGTTACTATATTATAGACGATCGTAGACACTCATACCGTAGGATACTGTCGTTGGTCACGATAAGCATCAAAGACCTCTAGAGTGCCCTCCACCATGTCTTAGAAGATAGACATCATACACCTCTGGAAAGTTGCTAGTGCATTACATAGTCCAAATGGTATGCGTTTAAATGCAAAGGTGCCATAAGGACATGCAAAAGTAGTCTTTTCCAGATCTTGAGGAGCAATTGATATTTGGTTGTAGCCAGAGTATCCATCTAAGAAAAAGTACCACCCTTTTCCACCAAACCTGTCAAGTATCTGGTCCAAGAAAGGCATCAGGAAGTGATCCTTCAAGGTCCACTTGTTCAGTTTTCTGTAATCCATGCATACTCGCCATCCAGTGACTAGCCTCTGCGGGACCAACTCATTCTTTGCATTCACAACAATAGTCATACCACCCTTTTTGGGCACACATTGCACTGGGCTAACCCAGTGACTGTCAGAAATGGGGTACACCACCCCAACATCTAACCACTTGTTTATCTCCTTTTTGACCACCTCTTGCATAGATGGGTTTAACCTCCTTTGGTGTTCAATGCTTGGGTTGCAGTCCTCCTCAAGTTGGATCTAATGGGTGTATATTCCCGGAGGTATCCCAATGATGTCAGCAATGGTCCACCCAATAGCTCTTTTGTACCTTATCAACACTTTGATCACAGCTTGAACCTGTTCATCATTCAAATCTGCAGCCAAAATCACAGGTGAGTGTTGATAGCTCCCAAAAATACATACCTCAGGTGACTGGGTAACTGTTTCAGTTCCAGCACAGGTGGCTCCTCAATGGATGGTTTTACTGGAGAACTTGGCCTGTTTTTCAAATCCAGGTCCAATTTCTTTAGAGCATAAGAGTGTGCTCCCATACCCTGCAAAGCATTCACGGTCTCTACATAGTTAGATCGAAAATCAGCTTCAAAATTCATCAGCAGTACAATTAAGGTTTCAACAGCCAACCTCTCTTCAATGCTTGCTCCCATTTCCTCTTCATAAAAAACTTCTATCCCAGACACCACATTCATGTCATGTTGCTGCTTCATGGACCTTCAAATATTAAACTTTACCTCTTCTTTGTTGAGTTTGAATTTCAGTTCTCTCGCTCAATATCTACCAACGCTCGCCCTGTGGCCAGAAATGGTCTTCCCAAAATAATGGAAACCTCAAAATCCACTTCGCATTCCAAGATCACGAAGTTTGCCGAAAAGATGAACGTGTCCACCTTTATGAGCACATCACATAGGATGCCCACAGGTCTCTTCACTGACCTATCTTCCATCATCAATCTCATGGCTGTGGGTTTTGGAACTCCTAACCCCAGTTGCTTGTAGATGGCCAGCGCATCAAGTTTATACCGGCCCCTAAGTCATACAAGGCCTTCACGAATTCAATTGATATGATGGTGCACGGTATGGTGAATGCACCTAGATCCTCCTTCTTCTGTACTAGAGATCTGGTAGCAATAGCACTGCAGTGATGAACATTGTCAGTTAAATCAATACTTACAACTTTTTTCTTTGTGACCAAGTCCTTCATGAACTTGGCATATCCTGGCATTTGCTCTAGTGCTTCCACCAGTGGGATGTTTACTGACAGTTGTCGTAGCATGTTGATGAACTTCGCAAATTCTCCATCTTCGACTTTCTTTTTAAGCCTTTGAGGGAAAAGAGGAGGTGGTCTTGGTATCTGCTGAAGAGGCATTGTTCCCTCGACCTACTTTTCTTTTTCTCTTGCTTGTTTTGCTATTGGTTGAGCATCCTCCAAGTCATCTACTTGTTCAGCTTCATCCTCCTCTCTTCCAGCTTGCTCCAACACCTGCTCATGTTTAGTACCTGTAGAAATTGGGTCATTTAGAACCTTACCACTCCTGGTGGCGATAGCCATGCAATGCCCGTCCTTCTTAGGATTTTAGATTGTGTCACTTGGTAGTGACCCATTCTTCCTCTGATTTAATGAGGCTGAAAGTTGCCCCAACTGCTGCTCAATTTGCTTGATGGAGGTGGTGTGAGAGTCTACCAATTGACTCACATTGGAGAAATCACATTTCATCTCCTTTACCCCTGCATCAGTTGATTCAACTTTTTGGAGCACCTTGGCCAACATGTCTTCCAGCTTAGACCGCTGGAACTACCACTTGCCCGGTCTCTATTTCCTGGGGTCACATAGACACCAATGCGATCATTTCTGTACCCATCTCTATTCTGCCAGTTTCCTTGCTCTCTTTTTGCTGGCCTATAATATTGTCCTTCCCTTGAATAGTTCCATCCTGCATTTCCAGAATCGTAACCCTGGTTTCCCGAGTTGTAATTCTGTAAACCTCATTGGTTGCCCAGGTAATTAGTCTCCTCATCTAGATCGATATCCTAATCTTCATACCTGTTTGGCTGTCCCACAACATTTACCTTTTTCAGACTTTGAGACAGTATGCTTCGTAAGTAGATTTATTTGGGTCCTCATGTGTGCCATGTCCTGATCCATTTCTTCTTCTCTTTTCCTTTGTTCAACTGAAAGTTCAAAAGTGTACCCTAGATCTCCTACTTCAGCATCCCTAGTGTACCATGCCCTGTTATTCTTTGACACCACATAAATGATCCTCTACACACTGCATCAGCAACAGGTTTAGTAACATAATTTAATGATCTATAAAATGCATGGTCTAGATGTCTCTCAGTGAGACTATGGTTTGGACACCTCTTCAACTTTTGGTTGAATCTCCACCAGGTGTCATGCATCGCTTCTCCCTGGTAGCTGTTTATGGGCACTTATCTCATCTTTCATCTGCAGCTCTTTTGATTCAGGAAAGAATCGTTCCAGGAAAGCTTCCTTCAATTCAGTCCAAGTCCTGATTGAGTCATTAGGCATATCATTCAACCAATGTGTTGCCTCTCCAGTAAGAGACAATAGAAACAGCCTCAATCTCATCGTTGTTTGGCTAACTCCAGGAATTTATTGCGATTTGCAGATCGCCACAAAATTCATCAGATGTTGGTTAGCATCATTACTTGCTGCACCCCTGAACATACCTTTCAGATTCAGCAGTTGAATCATAGTGCTGGTGATTGTGAATTTAACACCTGGAGGTAGTGCAGGTAACACCATCGCTCCAGTAGCTCCAGCTTCGTCCAAGTCTAAGCCATCCTCTTCATACATCATGTGAGTTGGAGGTTGTGCTCCACCCCTTGGAGCTATTGGTTGGCAGTGGGGAGGAATGATTCCATCCACTGCTATGTTTTCGTCCACTACCCTAGGTGGGTTATTCACAACATTTGGCCGAATACCACTTACAATGGTTTCAGCTTCCAATCCAAATCTCTGTCTCTACGCCTCAAGTTCTTGTGCATTCACCATTTTTTGAATAGTCTTTTGAAGTTATGGGTCATAGGGAATCAATGGAGCTCCTTTACTTCTAGTATTTGGCATACACCATAGAACTCACCAGAAAGAGACACAGACAAAGAAACAAGATGTAAAATTAGGAAATATAACTACAACTCAAATAAAAGCTAGTAAAACAATTATGAATTGAAATTCTCCGGCAGCGGTGCCAAAATTTGATACGTCCAAGCTTACACCTCAATTAAGAGATATAAACGGTCGAAGTCAATTTATAGAACTCAACGGTGAGTTGAGATCGATCCCACAGAGAATTTCTTTACATAAATAATTTCACTGTTGCGTTTTACTCAAATGTCGTTATTATTTCCTAAAGAAACAATTACGGAAAGTAAAATGGGTTTAGTTGTGATGTTCTAGTAACTAAGATTTGTAATCAAAATCCAGATTAACAATTAACAAAGTTTTCAGTTCTCAAGTTGTTTCGATGATTAAAAGAAACCAGGATTGTGTTCCCCATAATGTTACACCTAATGTTCTTCCATAGTTGAGTTTCAGGCAATTTATCTCTACAAAATACAGATGAGTTAGATATATCTGATACTTCTCAGTCTAATAAGATAATGTTCACTCAAGTCCTCTCGGTCCCAGAGTGTTACTAGTTTTACCCTCGTTTACAATGGTGTTAAAATTCTTTTCTCTCAAACTCAAACTTTGACTCCATTTCTTCAAGTTAATTTAGATTTTTCCTAACTATTACTTTTCTCTCGAACAAATAATAGATACAGGCTCACTGCAATGCGTGCACTCAGCAGAATATGTTAACAATGGAAGCTATACTATAATTTGCAAACATAAATCCCCTATCACTCGTTTTATGGAATTACAATTCGATTCACGTCATAGATCCCACAATCCAATTGTGGTATTTATCCACTCATGATTTCACGTAAAAATTCAAAAACATAAGATGAAAACATGTTGAGAAGGTACTTACGAGAATAAGAAAATCAACAAGCTACTTTAATAATTCAAGAATCGGAAATCCAAACTGTGAACTTAATTCAATGTTAAAGTCGAAAATAAAAAACTGAGAATTATGGAAACTTCATCATTGTTCAAGGTTAGACGAGATAAAACATAAAAAATGACCTAATTAATTCAAATAAAGTGTTTTAAAAAGAGTCCTACTCAAAGTAGGACTGAACTGTCGGACACTTCACGGCCACTTCTATGACCCGTCAAGGGCTTCATGGTCCATGAAGCCCTTCGTGGTCTTCACTTGGAATCACCCAAAATAGGCTCTTCAAGACCTCTACAATGTATCATCACCATGGACACTACCACGACTCGTGACAATGACCACGGTCCGTGTAGTTGCCCGTGGTCTTCACTTGATGAATTCCCTCTTCCATTTTCCAATGCCTCTTCACTGAGTCATTACCACAAACACTACCACGACTCATGACAATGACCACGGTTCTTATAGTTATCCGTGGTCTTCACTTGGTCAATTTCTTTTTCAACTTCTCCTTGCCCATTCACTGGCTCACCTTCACGATTTGCACCACAAACCGTTATGAGGACCACGGTCCGTGAGGTTGGCCGTGGTCTTTACTTGGTCCAACTTAATCTCAACTCCTCCAAGCCTTTATACTGGAAATTTTCACGATCGGCACCACGGTTTGTGACAAGGACCATGACCCATCTAGGTGCTCGTGGTCTTCACTTGATCACCATCATCTTCTGCTTCCTTTTCTATTTTTCCACACAATCAAGAATTTGTCTACACATTCAACAAACACATCAAAGCATACAAAAATACACTCAATTCTAGTATTAATCCTTAGTTTTCAGGCATCAAATGTGCCAAGATTTCGTGTCACATCAAGCACATAGGTAAGGGATAAGGAGATTGCTTCTAGAAACCCGACCTCTACTCACAGGAGAGCTTCCATCTCAATATCCTCTCGGTGCTAAGCATAAATCCCACATAATAGTCATTTCTTACTTGTTCTTATTATCAATGGAAAGGCACGTCATCTTGCCAATCTAAGCTAAGTCATAATCCATGGAAAGGTATCATTCAATAACCAATCTAAGCTAAGTCATTAGGATAGCTCTTAGTCTTTGATTCAATTAGGTGAGAAGACCTTTCAACCTTAGAATCCTTATTATGTGAG